GTTGGGATTTTTGGTGAGGTTGAAGGTTGAGGTATAGGTTGCTATGGTTTTGGGTCTTCAGGTGGGTCTTTCCTATGGGTTCTTTCGGTGGGTTTAGGGTTGAGGTATAGGTTGTTATGGTTTGGGGTGCTAGGGGGGGGGTGCATGGTTAGAAAATGGAAATGGTCATTGCTAGCTAAAAAACCCTATAAACCCTAAACCCTAAAGAAGAGTTCCAATGCCCGCCAAGCCCAGGCTCGGCGACGAGTCGGGCCAAATCGTCATCTTCGATGACTCCGACTGGACCAAGTTCCCCTGCGCCTTTTTGGCTGCAGCAAGAGCACTGTATCGTATCCTACAACTATACCCCCAAACATCCCTAGAAGTGCCAACTCCTCAAGCCGTCAGAAAGTTTTGCTGGAGTTCCTCTCATCTCTCAGCTTGGCCGCTGCATCTCAGCACGAAGCCCCCACGTCTGGAAGTGTGCTGCCGAGGTTGGCGATGCCCTGAAAACACGGGGTGACAAGGAGGACGGCCTCAGAGCATTGGCCACTTCCTGTGCCGTAGGTAGGCTCGGAACATTGCGGGCTTGGGTTGGGACTTGGGGGGGGCCCAGTTCCCTCTGCTTCATTGACCTCAAAGAAGAGCTCCCCTACTGCCAGTGACTCGCACTCGACCATTACTGCGACCACCATCAGGATGCTCACAAGTACTGCTTTTTTTTTCAGCTATGCCTCAAGCCTCTACCATCTTAGCCAGGCTTGAAGCTGAGACCAGCCAAAGGCTGCTGGAAGCTTGAACCCTTGCAAACTGAAGCCAGAGGCTGCGACACGATGGCTTGGCTCAAATCTTCAGAAGCCGCTCTTATCCCGCACGGCCCCAGACAACTTCGACCCGCCATCCCCATTCTTTGGATCGCCAAGGGTCGAAACCCTAAACCCTAATCGCAAAAGCAAAGCTGAAAGCCTTTCCACCCCATGAGATGCTTTGAGAAAGGCTCCCCTGCTTAGTAGGGGCCTGAATACTTCGTGACAACCTAATATGTGCAAGAGAACCCGCATTATGTCCAAACCTCTAACTTCAACGCTCAAGACGTAGGGCATAGACCTCCCGCAAATGGCTTCTGCTTCGCAGCTGCCCGCCTGCTTGTCGAAGCGCTTTGATCGGAGCAGTTGAGCCTGGGTACAGGGTTTAGGTTTCTTTCTCGGGGCATGTCTTGCTGCTTCGGTCGTTTACTGGGTTTGCATACATGACATAAGTCACAGATCTCTTCGAACATCGAGTGACACCGTCGGCTCTGTCACCCCACGCATCTGCAGCCAAATGAGCGGCTTGCACTGCCATCGAAAGAACCTCACCTGTTGTGAGGCAACGCTCAATTTCGAAGCCCCAAGACCCAAAGCTGTTACAGGTGGTGCCGGCTACATTTAGAATAAAGCCTCGAACGAGATTATTACGGAGGCTCAAGATGTCTCACCTTGTGGAAATGATAGACTATAAGTGCCAACTCAAATGTGCCGGGGCGTGTCTTGCAGCGATGATGTCGCAAGAGTAGACCTCGAGCAGGGTCAAGATCCTAGTCTTTGACGATCCTTAGTGCCAACTGGGAAAAGAAGACACAGCGAGCGCCGAATCCCACGACGAGGCCGCGAACAAAAGGCATGCAAACCTAAAAGCATCCGAGAACCCGAGAATCCTCAGAACCCCCACAGACGCATCATCGAGCCCTTAGGCCCTCCTTGCAAAGCGCCAAAAGCCCTAAGCCCTAAACCGCAAACCCTAAACCCAAACCCTAAACCTTAAACCCAGCCCCGACAAAATGGACAGCCTCTGATCCTTCCGGGAGCACATCAATTCGTCTCCAGGCTTCCGTCCCCTCAGCTGGAGGCCGTGCACGAGGCAGGGAGTTGACGGCTCAGTTTCGAGGGATTCTCGGGTTCATAGGGGGGACGGTTCAGGGTTTAGGTTCAGGGTTTAGGGTTTAGGGTTCATAGGGTGGATGACCCGACTTTGTGGGTCCTGATGTTCAGGCTTGGAGCAGCAACCCATAACTCAAAGGCCCTGAGCCCTTCACAGCGAGATTCTAATGACCTGGACGACAACTTCGTAACCAACGCAGAACCCTCTGCATCTCATTATCGCGAGTCGCTATGATTCAAAGTCCGCAGCCTTTTTTTGACCCTTCCGCACTTCCTGAGTCGCAGGCATTGTTGGAGCTGCTCGGATATGGGCTGAGAGCCATGGCAGAAAGGGGTATGCACTTTAAAAGCTTTAGGGTGTGCGACCTCATTTTTCTTCTCGATAGCACTCACAGGCCGTGCCCGATTTCGGCCCATGTGGCCCATGTGGGTCTTTCTTCACAATTTAGGCTTCTGTTGTTGAGACAGACCCACAGAGACAGAGAGAGAGAGAGAGAGAGAGAGGGAGAGTGAGAGATGGACGGACAATCAGAACGAGAAGGAGAAAGGGACAGGCAGGGACATCCTTGGAATCCTGAACAGTGCAGAAGCTCCCGACACAGCAACCTTCCACCCGTCAGTGACCGAGGTGAAGTGACGGATGTTGACGAACTGGCCAAGCGCGTGAAGGCACTTCCAACAGCTCGTAGCCCGTCCATGGTGGAGTCTTGCGTGCCCAATATCCCATGTTGAGTCTTTGGCCCTGAGAATGCGCGCATGTTATGATGCAGGCCAAGCTACATGCTGCCGACAGCCGGCGGGCTGTTTCTGAGGCTTGGATTTGCAGCACTTGCGGCATTCAGCCCAGACCTGGCGCTAACACTGCAGAAACGCGCTGCAGACAGGCTTCAAGTAACATGCCCGCGAGACCCCCGGGCCCTTCAACTGGGTGCATTAGACTTCGGGGCTTCTTCCAGACGGGGTGTGTCCATTTGGCAATCCGAAACGTTAAGTTGTGCATGCCGCGATGCGGTCTAGATTACCTCCTGGCCTCCGCCAGGAGCATCCGTCGGAGTATGCCTCCATGTGCCGCTGGGCCTGGACGCCCAAGCGCTGGCACGAGAGCCGAGCAGCCACAGGCGTCTGATTTGGTTGGGGCAAAATGTTTCAGCATTCTGTGTTGCGGAGGTTTACACCGAAAAGTGGACAAGCCTTGTAACATCTTGTAACCCTAAACTCTAAGCCCTGAGCCCGAGACACAAAGCTCCCTAGCCCCAGTCCCTGAACCTCTTAAACCCATGTATTGTCTTGATCCCACGTGTCGGGCAAGTCGCCGAAGCCCTGGCAGGAGCGCCGGCTGGCGCTCCCAGCGCGGAACTAGGCACCGGGTCGTCGCCTCGGGGAGTCCTAGCGGGGAATATGGGGGTTTTTCAGTGTTTGGGAGTTGAGGGTTTCGAGCTTCAGGAGTCTTCTTGTCTTGGGCTTGCGAGCTTCACCTCCTTGCAGCAGGGAGGTTTGAGGCTTTCTCGCCGCAGCCCCTACACGACTTGAAGGTCCATGGGTAGTAGGTTTGTACGAGTACGTGGACCATAGCTAGAATGCTTGAAGTAGTGGAAGGATAGTTATCCCTGCAAAATGGCCGTGTTTGCCCTGCATCCTTCAAGTAGACGCCAACAGCCTGAACCCCAAAAACCCTAAATCACGATGATCCTGATGAGTGGAACCATTTTGGAACCCGTCAAAGCCCTGATAACGCCCTTGCAGTCCTTCTGGAGGGGAGGTGACCGACCTGCTGCCGCCCATCCTACGGAGGACGCAGGTCGGATCGAATCCTGGCAGACTTTGGGTCTTTTAGGGAATTGGGTATTGGGAGGTTTCAAGACGCAGTGAGGGGTTCTAGAGTCTACTAGAGGTCACGTGGCTATTGATTTAGTATGAGGGTGTGCAGGTTTAGGCCTTGAGGGTTTGGACTCTTCTTGGGAATTCAATCACAGAGCTCTCCGAAGCGAAAAAGGGCTCTGTTTGGAAATCCTTGCGTGCCAATTTTGTCCAGAGGCTTTAGTTGAATTTGATGTCCTCCACCTTCCGCTGCGCCTTCTGGTGCAAGGCCATCCGAAATTCGAAAAAGGTGCAAAGCTCTCCGAATCCCTACCCTAAACGTGACCCTCAACCTTGATACCCTAAACCCCGAAGCCCTCCACTTTGGCGCAGTTGGCCTTCGACAAACTGCTGGCGAGCTGCCGGCAACGCGTAGAGGCTCGAGCGAAGATCGATATGCGGGGCTCCGAAACTTTGATAGTTTGTTGCACACAATAGAATTATCCTATAAACTCCTAAACCATTCTGTGTACAGTTACCGGGAATTCTAAGCCAAAAGCCGTTGCGTTAAGCTGCGCCATACTCTTTTGGATGTGTGGGCTGTGGGCTCGTCTGTCAGGGGTGGCAGGCTTCTGAGTGACAACATGGCTCCTTGAAGTGGGCGACCCTCACTAGTAGAATCCCCTTTGTGGACCTTACAAATGAGGAACCCTGAAATGGACCCGCACTGGAAGGATTCCTAAACCACTTGCAATACGAGGCAATACGAGGGTGCTTGTCATCAGGGGACCCTGAGATGACTAAGAAAGAGACTACTTTCTTCCACAAGCGGGCAGGCTTTGCAGCAAGCGCCGGACAAGGCCGCAGCTTTGCCCGCACTTACAGAACAGAGCTTTTGAATGAAGGCATCGGTACTTCCGCTTCGGCCCCTGCCACGCCAACCACTCAACCCTAAGCCGCTAAACCCCAACATTCGTAAGTCCAAAGCCGGAAGGCCCTTAAAAGTTAAACCCCAAGCTTTACCCCCAGCTTTAACGAAGATCTGCCCAAAGATCCAAGGTGGCCCTGCAGCGCGCAGAGGCAAAGCTTGCCGGCCTCAGCGGGTGGTTTCCGGTGCTTCGCCTGAGACCGGGCCGGGTGGTCTTAAGGAGCTTAGACAACATATATAAGGGGCTGTACAGGGTGCTAATCTCAGCTACTGGTTGAGAGACCTTGGGGTTTAGCGGCTGATTTTCTAAACCAGAATTTCTACTTGTTCGATGCTGCTGAAATTGCCAGCGCCTGATTCAGAAGTGATGCGGTTCTGCTTGGCCCCATGCCTTCAGCGATGCTCGGACGCCTCAGGTCATGAAGGCCGCAGACGAAGAGATTCGCATTCTGGCCACTGCAGCTGGCGGCACACTGGCAGCGATAGCCAGGGATTTCTTGGGCCTCGGATTCTCGAATCGTTGAATTTTACGTTATCAAAGACTTGATTGAGTATTCTGGCTTTAGATTCGGATGGAGGTAGCCGACTCCCAGCATGCCTTACGAGAGGTTCTTCTACTCTACTTTACCATTACCAAGGTTTTCCATTTCGACTCCAGCTGCTGCTGATAGAGTCTTGGGCTTCTTCGGCACGTCCCATGAAGCCATGGAGGCGTGAAGACATCTTCTGGAGATGGGCTCGGAGTGCTCTTCGAGACGGCGGCGGCGGAGGCTCGATGGGCTTCATACGTGGTCTGAAGAATCGATGTTAGGGGTTTTTTGGGCGTGTCGGGTTCATGGGGCTTTCGGGCTTTCGGGCTTTAGAGCTTATGGTTTTAGGGTCTCGTGAAACTTCCCTTGACAGGGTTTCTGTGAGCTTAAAGGCTCGCTGAAGGCAGCCAGCCCAAGAGAGCTGACCATATACGCTCAGGTCCGGAGAGTTTTTCGTTCCACCTCGCAAGATAGAAGAAGGTGTGGGTGTCTCCCCAGCTTCGACCAACCCTGCCTCGTTCTTCTGCAAAGCTCAAGAGCCTAAGATCTGGGGCCCAAGTCCTAAGAGCCTAAACCCTGAACAAAAGAGCCTTGAAAGATGGCTTTCGCTAAACGCCATCCCAATCATATGCTTGCTGCCTTGAGCCCTGTATTTGCCGGTCCATCCGGTGGCCTGTGGTTGAGATTCCTATCAAGAAGAAACTAAGGTGCCTAGCGGCAACGCTGCAGCCCGACTGCCGAAGATTCCGATCGGGACCTTGCTTGTTTGACTTTAGTCGACCTCCGGTTTCCCAATCACCGTGCCGTTGGAGGAAGTGTGGTTTCGCTTGAGCTGATCCTGTTCAAGCTGTCTGATTCTTTTGCAGCGCCGCACGTGCAGCACATCTGCAAAAAAGCTGCATCAGGACCGGCAGGAAAGTGGAGGCTGTGTGGGAGATGCCTGCAAGTCTCATGGATTGGGTCTGACATCGGGAGACGCCCAAGCATCGTGCACCCAAAGCCATCACCGCTTCTCAAAAATCTTCACCGATGGCTCGTTGCACTCTGAAGGTGCTCATTTGCCCTGCCCCCTGGAGGTGCCATCGGCTCCGTCGAGGGCAAATCCTTCCCCGTCCCTGGTAACCCTGCACTTGGGAAAGGGAGGAGGCTGACCTGCACAACTAATGGGGGGTTGCTCCAAATGCTTCTACGGGTTTCGGGCTTCCGGCGGTTTTGGGTACTCAAGAACCAAATAGTGTGTGTGTGTGTGCGCGCCCATCATTTCGATTATGGGGGGCACTGGCCAGTCTGTTTGAAAAGAGCAGGGACAGGGAACAGGATCCGAGTCTTGAGAAGATCGGAGAGGGCCAGAGCTGGCTAAGCTCTTAGGGTTTAGGAGGTTTAGTCTAAAACTCAGGGCGTTTCGGGTTTAGGGTCGAAAACTCGAGACTAAGGTTGTGGGGAGTTTATAGCTTGCGACGTCATGCCGCTGTGGTAGATCCATCTGTTCATGAGGGCCGAGAGACTGCGATCTGGATGTTGCCGATGCTGCAGCGCCGTCATGTCTCGATGCGATGTTGGTTCGAAAGCCGAGAATGAACTTAAAGTCGTGCGGGCCCGCAAAACCCGCGGAGGGGGATGCATAGCTCGTGCGGCACAGCTCTGGCACGACCTTCTGCCTATCATTTCTGTGTTTGGATGACTCTGGGGTTGCAGGAACGTTGTCCATGTCTTCATACTGGAGATTGGGCCCGTGTGGTGCATGATGGATAGAGCTCTATCGACAGTTCAGGCCCGTGCATGCAGACATCGTGGCAAGGAATGTTTGCTACCTGCAACACGCTGGCTGTTGGCCTCACGAATGACACCGCCCAACTTGCACTTTCTCCACGTGCTTGTTTGCTTCCGGAGCCCCTAAAGCTACCTCAAACCTGGGCCCTCGATCCCTAAGACTCTAAATCCTGAACACCTGCTAGGTGAAACGGGTGTTGCAGCCTGGGAATCCTTCATGGCGGAGCACCGCTTGGACAAAGAGGCTTCGGTGACTGTCTCACGGATTGGGTTTGGGGGCTATAGGGCTTATTCTATTGCTCATGTGCCCACGGACCCTTAGGACAGGGGTCCTCGTGCCGGGACACAGGAAGATATTCCTTTTGCAAGAAGTATTATCTGTCTCGTCGTTATAAATGTGCGCTTTGGAACCATCAGAAGACACAGCGGGAAGTCTATTATATGATATCTGTGTTTATCAGTACTGCTAGTGCAGTTCGGAACGTTTCGCAAGGAAAGTCAGATGTATGACAGACACAATTCGTATCAATTCGTACTAGCCTCGCCTTCTCGTCCTTGTGCAACAGTGTATTCGACTCCATTCCCGTGTACTGAAGCTGCGACATACCGCCCCAACCCTCTTATGCTTCTTGCTAGGGCCCTGTAAACCTAAACCCTAAACCCTAAACTCTAACCCACCCCCCCCCCCCCCCCGCCGAAACCCTTCGTCTGCAAGACAAGGGCCGGCCATTGCATGGCGAAGTTTACGGCTGCAGCAACTTCCTCTTCGCGGAGGTGCCGTGGAGGGCGGGGGGACTCCCACTGGGGTCTAAGTAGGTCGTGGGGTCTTAGGGTTGGTGCTTCCAAGGTCGAGGGGTCAGGGTCCAAGTCACCAAGAGCAGAGCAAGCCACTGCGCAGCGCAAAATGCCCGACTTTGCTGCAATCCACACCAACGAGCATAGGCAACCAAGTGCACATCTTGGCTTTCCGGACATCAGACTCCTTCAGGCAGGTTACTACGGCGATTCACAGACTGTAATTAGCTCAAGCCAAAACCCTAAACTCATGGCAATTCCGTGGTCTTTGCACCCGGTGAGTCAGATCGAGTGGGTGAATATAGGTCTTAAGCCGGCGGGGGGAACCGGAAATCTCCCCCAAAGGCTTCCCCAAGACGGCAACATGTTGCCACACCTATGCCGGTAAGTTCGCATTCAGCCATGACCAGTTCATAGTCTCCATGCCATGTCACTTGCTACCTTGACACAACTAGCTTGGGCTTGAGTGTTTGAGGACTGAGCTATCCAAGTGTTGCCATGGCCTCGTCTTGCCGCGTGCCAGCGCGACTAGTTGTCTTC